GTCCCGGGGAGATATTGGAATTAGCAGTTGGAGACGGATTCTTGAATTAGGAAATGTGTGCAGACTTTGATGAGTGGAAGAAGTCCCGGCATGACATACAATTCCATAATGTAAAAAGTTGCAGAATGATCAAGCTGTGTATTATACCCTAACTTGACTCTACTGCATTCCCACTCGCTGTCATCAATATCGTATCATACCTTGGCACCCTGCCTCGTGCTCAAAGGGTGAGCCGGTGAGATGGATATGAAAGGATTCTGTGGAATACGATGGGACAAGGAAAAACCCAACCATCATGCCCTGACACAGCCGTCTTCTGGGCATGATTTTCTAGTGGCTTATTCAATAGTCACAACTAACAAGGGACGAAAGTTCCAAAGATGCTGAACATGGTAACGCCAGAGGTGGAATAGTGGGTCGAGAGCGAAACCCTCTCCAGCAGGAGATCAACTACATCCTTGTTTGAAATGCCCTTGTCGTGATGATCCTTTACAGACAAGGCGTCCAGAAGATCTTTCAACTCAGATTTGACGAGCTCAAATAAGCTTACTCCGGAGTTAATATTATGTTCCGAGCCTGGCTCGAGCTTTATCGGAGACACGAAAGCGGCCCTCGAACCATTTTGCTAATACGGCACTATTAACATTGTGACATTGAGAAGTACTCCGTGACTCAAAGCTGCATGGCGGTCCCGATTGCAGCTTCTCGGGCTTTCCGAACCTCGTCGCGTCTCTCTTCGTTTTCCTCCTTCAGCCGTTCCTCAACATCGTCTCTAATAGCACCGAGATCTGGTGGTATTGTCTGGAGCTGAACGCTTGGTGCTGCTTCCACAAACCGGAGCTGTTCCGTAACATGTTGCACAATCTCCTGCAGTCGCTTCGGGGGGTTCCGATTCACTCTTGGCTCGCCCAGGATTTGTTCCAGAGTAGGGAAGAGGGTATCCTGCCGGAAGTGATCACGCCATGGGGCATGCTCTGGGAGAATGGGGTTAATCTTGTCTTGAGCATTGATAGCAATACTCGTCTCATAAGTCCACGCCCTCGCCACGTTTCTGGGAGTGTAGCCGCCGCCTCCAAAGAGGATCATGGGGATGCCCATTTCTTTGCAGAACTTGACGCAGGCACCGTGGCCCTGAACTTGGAGGTTGAAGCGGCCCAGACGATCGCCGGCCAAAGAATCCGCACCGCATTGCAAAGCGATTGCACCCGGTCGGAACTTCTCCACAATCTTGCCAACGACAGTGTTAAATAAATGGTCGTATTGCTCATCAGTGATCCCGTCGTTCAATGGTACGTTGAAAGCATGGTGAGCGCCCGGATTATGCTCGCTCTTAGGGCCGTTGTCGTCGAGGGCGCCAGTCCCCGGGAAGAAGTTATTCGGGTCATATTTGTGAAAAGAGACTGTCATGACTCTGTCCGTTGAAAAAAAGGCTTCTTCAACACCGTCTCCATGGTGCACATCGATGTCGATGTACAATACTCGTGGGTAGTATCGAAGGAGTTCAAGAATGGCGATCACGATGTCGTTGATGTAACAAAATCCAGACGCTTCGGACCTCTTGGCATGATGAAGACCGCCACCCCAGGAGATGGCAATGTCAGACTGCTTAGAGCAAATCTTCCTGGCCGCGTCAAGAGATCCACCGGCTGATAATGAACAGTAGTTGAACAGGCCATCAAAGAGGGGACAATCAGAACCACCAAGGTTGAACTTGAGATCAACCCCTTGGTTCTCGAGATCCCGAGGTACTGGCTCCGGAAGGACAGTACCAAGGAAATCTAGATAGTCAGAAGAATGAAATTCTGCAAGCTCCTCATATGTGGCGGCTCTGGAGATGTAGTTATCCATCGCGAATGACATTCCGTAAGAGTAGATGAGACTCTTGGACAGGGTTAATCGCCACGGTTTCATGGGATGAGTGACCCCGAAATGATGCTTCTCAATGTCCGGGTTGCAGTGGAAGGAAACGTTGTAACCCTTGGGTTTTGTGATACCAGACTCTTCAGCCAGACGCTTGCACTTGTTGTAGAATTTAGCATTGTCCATCTCACTAGCCAGCCCCAGTGGTTGATTGGAGAACTCCTCAACGACCGAGTTATCACGGTCCTCATCTGCAATATGAGGAAGGTAGTTGGGCTTAGGCACCCTGTACCTATAGGAGTCTATGTCCATTGTTGGAGCACAAGAAAAGAGGTGCTTTGGTTGGTACGGGTGTGAGATGTATTAAGCAGTAGCCCAGACGAAGAGTAACTTGAATAAGTCGTTGCTGCGTATCTGAGGCTAGATAATGATGATAGTGTGATTGTAAGATACCGATAACACAACAGATAGTATGAGGCGGCTGCAAAGCTCTTCAAGTGATGATTTTTGACGCAAGTTTGGGTGGTCGAGATGTGTGGTATGGTTAATGTAGTTGGTGAAATAGATAGCTCCAGATCTCAGGTGTCGAAAATGCACAAATGCAAGCGGTTGGCAATCGCGCGGGAGGCCCCACTGTTGCCTCAGATTGTGGATGGCCAGGGAAGTATAGCCAAGTTTCTTTCAGTACAGCTAGGTACTGAGGCTCCGTGTGAGTTTAGAGACACAAGGGACTTGAAAATACATTGATGTCGCCAGGAACAAGCCTGTAGCTTCTGTCTCTTAGTGCATCTTGGCCTAAGCCAGAACGGTCATAGCACGGGCGAATAACTGTGGCTTCGATACCTACCTTAGTACCTAAGTGGCTGTGAGAAACAACCTGTTGAACATGCTGCCTTAGTACCTACTCCGTAGGTTCCCCAACTCTCAAAACTTACACCAGAAACGCCTCCACCTTTTCCCTTCATACATCCTAATTCTGCCTGCCCATCCTTCTCAAATAGAGCACCCTGAAGAGAACACACACGCGGCTGCTGCTTTTGATTCCGGCAGAGCAGAGCAGAGCACCGCGACTTCCACTACTCTCAAGTCAAAAGAAAGGACAAGCGAGCAAGTGGGTATCGAGGTGAGCCGAGCCCGAGTCATTCATGTCGAGTTGCACTCCGCGTTCTTCTTTGGACTTGCTTGAGTTTGACCCAAAGCATTGCCTTTGCCTTTGCCTTTGCCTTTGCCTTCGTCTTTGCCTCGCAGGTTGCCGGTAATAGCCATTTACTGCCCTGCTATTTCATCTACCATTTGGCTCTGGGACTCGTATCCGTCAGGCTATCGGACCACTTGATTTTCTAGACCATCGCCCTTGTCCTGTCTTGTCTACATCAAGCCAACCAGCCATCATCATATCGATTCATTTCATCTGCATTGTCATCAATCTTTTCTTCTTCCTCTTCCTTCCTGACATCTCCCATCCATGCTGGTCTCGCCACACATCGCTGCGCATTCGTTTACACTGTCACACGGGTCTCGGGCATCAGGCTTTGACGTTATCGCATTTTTCTCTTAGCTAGTATTGCTCGACTTTCTTATCGTTAACAATCATGCCTAGAGACGACTTGTCTATCGACTTCGTCAAGAGGATGCCTCAAGCCGAAGCCCTCGACCCTGGCTTGATCCTCGACGACTGGATTAACCGCGTCCAAAATCTCCCCGAAGAGATCCGCTTCATACAAGAAGAGGTCGCCGATAAAGATCGTCAATACTCCGAGTGCTTACGTACAATCGAGGACCGGGACGGGAAGATTCAAAAATGGATCAAGACAAACGGAAGCCATGAGCCGAACCCTAAGGAAGACCTTCTTCGAAAGCAAGTCCGCGACAGTTTTGCGCAAGCCGACCAACTATCGAAAGAAAAGATCGCACTGTGCCAGAAGATGCAGATCATAGTAGACAAGCATCTCAAAAACTTGGACAGTCAAATCAAGTTGCTTTACGACCGAGCCGAGCCTGGCTTTACCGATCCTGACGAAGTTCCCTCACTACTTCGACCAAGCGCTGCAAATCACACCGCCCCTTCGATCCGGGCCATAAACCCAGCAAGTCATATGACCACCACAGCTGGTCCCTCAACTCCTCTTGCCGCTGCGCAAACCTCTTCCAATCCCGCACTTGCTCGACTTCCCAACCACCCTAATGTTCGTCACGCACAGTCTCAGCAGCACGCAGCGTCTGCTCCGGCAACACCCGCAGCCAGCATGATTCTGAACCGACAAAGAGAAGGTTCTGCAGGACCCGCGACAAAGCGCGTTGCTCGGGTGAACCCCGCTTTGGGGACTATGCCAATTGCATCAAGCGGTTTGGCAAGACATTCATCACTTGGACCCGGCACCCCTAAGGGCGGTGCCATTGGAGGGTCTGGTGTTGCGAGAGCAGGCAGCGCAGGCCCAAGAACCGGATCTGTGAAGTCAACAGGACCCTTGAGCGGCCGTCGAGGTACGCCAACTGGTGGGATACGGAAGAAGTCTACCAACAAGTCGAATCTTTCCCGGGTTAAGAAAGCCTCAAATCGAAACTCGCCTGCGCCAACGAATGATAGTGAACTTTCGGATGTCGACAGTGGCAGTGGGGAGGACGAAGATGGCGCCGACGGTCGGTCAAGAGGTACGCCCGTGGCCGATGGTAAAGATGTTGACGGAGATGATATTATAGGAGATGCTGACGATGACGACGAAGAGGCTGGCGATGACAAGAAGTATTGCCTTTGCCATAACGTGAGCTACGGGGACATGGTCGCGTGCGACAACGACAATTGTCCGTATGAGTGGTTTCACTGGTCATGCGTGGATCTCAAGAGCGAGCCCAACGGGACATGGTACTGTCCTAAATGTAGAGAAAAGCTACAAAAGAAGGGCAAGTAGGAAGGCCCTGAAACCTATGAGCTTTACGTACCATATCCCAATTGAGGTGATCAGGACTTGTTGAGGAAAGCAGTCCGGTTAAAAGTGGCGTTTGGGAAAGGCATATAATATACCCATGTTGCTTTGAGCATTTGAGCAGTATAGTTTCTGGTAGTCGAACGCATAAGCTGAAGATGCACGCATTGCTCAACTCCTCTCGGAATCTGATGATCTACTTGGGATTCAATATGCCTATGTCGGTCCAAGAACACACTGAACAACCCCTCTTCGGACCCCCTCTACCTCTTCTCTGAGTTGTTCCACTCGGGCTCCTTTCTGACGTGCTTTGTCAATAAAGTCATCCAGTGAACCACCAACCCCAAAGTATAGGCGTTTTGCGCCCACAAGAGCAGCCGCTTCGTTTCCATCGGTCTTATTCTCCTTTTCCAGTATTAAGAAGAGGGTTTCGAGGAAGGCCTGGAGGGCAAATGGAGAGTAAATTGTTTCTGCACCGAGAAGCAGCGTGCTCCGTTCCTGAACAGGGCTTGAAGGTAGAGCGTATATGAGATCGACGAATTCCTGTGACCAAGCACCAGACACAAACGAGAGAGTGACGTTCGCTTCCTTGAGTGATTGTTCAAAGGCGGCGAGAACATCAGTGCCTAGCTCGACCTCGCCCTCGATTGAGAAAGCTTGTTGAAGAGCAGGTATATGAGGGTTGTTAAGGGCCCATGAAAGGATGAAGTTGGGCAAAGTGACGAGCTGGAGAACTGAAGGGTTATAGTCTGCCATGATAAGAGACAGTGGCTTCTTTTCGAATGTTGAGGCCATGGCCCATTGGAAGACTGCCAGAGATGGTAGAGCTGTACCGCATCCAAGCTGTAGCTCTAGGGTTAGATATATCACGCTATAAGTATAAGTTTATTTCACATACCTCCATGACTCGAAGCCCCTTTTGTACCAATGCTGAGGTGACGTTATTCGCAGCTAGTACCTTGACTAAATCGACACTGCTCTCCCAGCTCTTAAAACCGCCCTCATAAACACCCGTTTTCACGTCATGGCTTCCCAAGCCTTCAGACTGGGCACCAGCAACGTCTTCCTCCTCGGCCATAAGCTGCACCCTCACGTCCCATAACTCTCTCCGTGATAGCTGGATAGTAGTTCCATCATCGAGCGTCACATCCAGAAGGCTATAAGCGATCTTCGACGGTAGCTGAGCAAGCAAATCAGAGAGTTGGTGAACAGTTGGTGGGAGCTGAGGCTTTCCTGGGACGGGAAATGCGCTGGTGGTGGCAGCAGCAGCAGCAGTTGTTGTGGACTTGACGACAGAAGGAGTCTGCTCATTATCGGAGATATCGTCACCGGCGAAATCAAATGAAAATGACATTGTGAAAGGAGTTTTGCTCACCACTTAAAGAGCTTTTGAGACTTTGATAGGTAGTAGGTACAGATAAAAAGTTGTAAGTGTGTGCACTGTGTAGTGGGGCAGCAGAGGCGGATAGTGGTAGCGTGCTGGTCACTCTCGACTCCCGCAATTCTGTCCGAGATCATTCTCAACGACTCGTCCTTACTAGTCAAGAACACAGCAAGTGAGTTCTTGTTTCTATATGTCATTAGAACGGGCTGGCTTACAGACCTTTGAAGAACTCATCCAATATGCGCTCATCTCTGATGAGACTGGCATCAGCCGCAAACACACAACGAGGCCTTAAGCCCAATCCTACTGCCCTTCTTCCTCCTATTCCCTTATACCGCCGACTCCTCCGTGCCCATCGCAAGCATTTGCCAGCTGAGATGAGAGTTCTTGGAGATGAGTACATCAAGGCTGAGTTCAGAGCGCACAGAAAGGTGGATAACCCGGCTCATCTGGTATGTTCCGTGCAAAAGACCTAGCAAGAACATCATGCTAAGCAGTTCCAAGATTGGTTTCCTAACAGAGTGGCAAATGTATGCGCAAAAAATTGAAGGCGATCAGTGGGTGGGTGATAAGTTGGATGAGCAGAAGCTCTCAAAGATGAGCGGTAAGTAAGAACGAGCCACGCACGAATATTTGAATTTAACATGTAGCAGATGAACAAATACACCAATTATACGAGTTGATGCAGGCCATTCAAAACCGGAGCAAAGAAGGTGGCGGCCAGGAGTCATAGATATGGTCACACGGAGAAAGGCCAAGACTAAAGAATTCATGGCCAAACAACAAAGGCTAAGATATTACTCATCGTTTTGCTCGTATTACTGACTCGAACATGTGTTCCTCAAAAGTTTGTACAATATAGAGACCAGACCTTTTCCGATGTATTAACTACAAGCATGCCGTTACTAAATAAATACCACCACTGAATATCTACTTGCCTCCCATTGCTTCAACAATCCATGTAGCTTGGATAGCGCTGACCTTCTTGGCATAATTCTTATTTGTGTAGACGTGCTCGAGGAACATGATAGCTTCTTTCTTCTGCCCATGCAATACGCTGGCAGGATGGATGGCAACGACGTGTTTGCCTTGGATTGTGACAAAGCTGCCGTCGGGAGCCAGCATAGCAGTTTTCAGAGCGAAACCTTTCAAGAAACACTTGAGGACTTGCTCAGCGCGTTCTGGGGAGATAGGAACGAATGGTTGAGGATCAGCTGGCGGAGCCTCATCCAGGAGCTTCTCCTTAAGACACATACCCCGAAGCTGCCTCCGAATGTTCAGAGCCTGTTTCATGTTTCTCATGTTGATCTTCCGTTGCTTGCACCAGTTCACTCTGTCTGCGTTCTCCGCGGTGTATTGTTGGATGGTAGTAAGATATGTGATGATGTCTCCCTCGCGGCGTTGGAGCTCCTTTCTGAAGGTTTCCACCTCTTCTTGGGCCTGTTCAGACTGGATACTCAAGAATATATCCTCTCCAGATGTGATACAGGAAATTATGTCGATCGCCTCGACCACACAATCAAACTCGGGATCCGCAGCAGCAAGCAGAACAGCCCCCAACGGCGCGGAAATAGGAAAGCGGGCCATCGTTTCGCCAGTCCTCGTGATAGTGCCATCATCATTGAGAGCACCGAGGAAGTGCAAGTGAATCAGAGCCTTCTCAATTGCTTCTGTCTCTGGGGGATCCATGAGAGGGAAAGCAAGGACATCCTGGATTCCTCGTGCCTTCATGGTCAGAACTGCTCCCAAGACGTCGTTGCGAAGAATCTCGGGAAGATCGGAATCTAGCAGTGTCTTGAAGGCCGATTCTGGGTATAATCTAAAGCACTTTCCCGGTCCCTCACGGCCTGCTCGACCAGTTCGCTGCACAGCGGAAGATTTCGAGATAGGTTTTGCAAGAAGAGATTCCATGCCTAGGCGTGCTCGGTATTGCTTCACTTTTGCTTTACCACAATCCACCACATATCTGACTCCGGGCACAGTGACTGATGTTTCAGCAATATTTGTCGCCAGCACAATCTTACGCGTAAAAGGAGTCTTGACAGGTAAGAAGGCCTCGCGCTGCGCGTCCATCGAGAGTTGACCATACAAAGGGAACACCTTGATCTTTGGGACATTAGAGGCAAGAGTTTCTGCATATTCCTCAATCAGCTTTTGAGCAGCCTCAATCTCTTCCTGGCCGGTCAGGAAAGCAAGGATATCTCCCGGGAGCTGCTCTTGCAGGTGTATCTTGTATATCGTCTTGAGAAGGGCGTCCTGGATGTCGGGTACAGGTCGCGGTTCATGGTGAACTGTGACAGGGTACTGTCGTCCCTTGATCTTAAGAACCTGTAGTGTGCTTTCGCCCTCGTTCTTTGGTCGCACGTCCTTGAAGAACTCTTGAATGCCCTCCACGTCTGCCGTCGCACTCATGATGACCACTTTGAGCGGGATGCCCCCGCGGCCAGACAAGTCGCTTGCGAGAATCTGCTTCAGGAAACCAACGAGAAGATCAACATCAAGGCTGCGCTCATGAATTTCGTCGACTACGATAGCGCTGTAGCTGCTGAGATTGGGGTCCCGTAGAAGTTCCTGAAGCAACATACCCTCAGTCAAGAATTTGATCCTTGATCCCTTGGGGACTTGGTGGTCAAATCGAACCGAGTAACCGACCAAGCCATCTCGTCGTCCTTTCCCTAGAGGAGTCCCGGCTTCTTGAGAAACACGATGAGCCAAAGTCGTCGCGGCGACTCGCCGAGGCTGCGTGATTGCGACCATGCCACCCACTGAAGTCTCGTCGTCTGAGCCAGCGATCTTGATCTTTTGACGTCTACACCAGGGCTCTTGATAGAGAAATTGAGGAACCTGAGTACTTTTTCCAGAACCTGTCTCACCTGCTAGCACGAGCACGTCGCTTCCGGACTTTTGCAGGGCCTTCCGAATGTCCTCGCGATACTGCCATATCGGAAGCTCTTTGCGTGCCTTGAGCAGTTTTGGATCATCCCGAGTCCGAGACCTATCGCTTGTATCGCACCTTCTAGGAGGCTCCTTATGCTCTGGCTTTTGCTTCTTTGCTTCTGTGGTGGCGACAGAGGCAGCTGAGGGGGTGGCTGTAGGGCTGTCTGATGCTGATGTTGAGGCGACAGGTACAGCCTTTGAGGGCGCTGTGAGATACCCTTCGAGAGAAATTGATTTCCCCCCTATCGTAATAGCATTTGGATCTGCCTTGTTTTTGGTTTTCCTCTTCTTCGCCGGAGGAGGGCCAGAATTATCAGTCGCCATGGTGCAGGGCGAAAAGTTGGCGACGGTGGAAATTTTCACTCGGATCCAATGTCGATAGCTGGAAGGCAATCACTAGGATCAGAATTATACCTGACCAGAGACCGAAACAACCCCGACAAAATAAATGTGACATGAGGCGGTCTATCAAGCACTATAGATGCTCCACTTATTTAGTTCATGCTCTCTCACTGTCTCCACCATCTACCTACCTAAGTACCTACCATATAAGGTAGGTATTCACCATCATCTTGGGTTATAAAACCATGGCTTATTACGCCGTACTTCATTATTGAAAGAGCTTAGAAAATTATGAAAGGGACTGATTCTGAAAAGTCTTAAAATTATTTGCCATCAAATATACCTTGCTTTCGTTGGATGCAATCAAATCTAAACACCATAAATCTCTACTTAGACTCCCGGTCAAGGTTAGATATCCTGGCCTGATATATCCCTGCTTCCCCATCCCAAGTTACCAATGCTCGAGAGTCGCCGCTCAATATGGTTGCGTACCTATGATAGAAACTGGGTTTGAATATCAAATATCAAACAACCAAATCTAAAAAATCTAGAAATCTTCGAAGTTGTCTCAACCTTTATTTCACAGGTAATTGAACATTTACCTGTTGTCCCTAAACAATACAACTATTATGGGTCGTTTGCTTCAATACTCCTCCATATCAATGAATGTGCAGAGCTCAAGTCGACGAAGTCAAGATTCAGAGGCGACATAAAATACCTTGGACGCCCGATACATGGCTCCGAAAACCCGCAAGTATCAACATACGTCTTCTTAGATGCTTAAACGTCGTTCGACTTTCATGTATGCATGCCTGTGAGAATGCTCCAAAACCCAGATTCTGTTTACTTGGTTTATACAGTTGATCACGACCAAGACGGGATTTAACCTGCGATGCTGTAATAGAAACGTCTAAATAGACATATTAAATCCCAATGTGCTCATCGTCCCCTATCCCAACACAGTTGCTATGTATCATCGTGTTCTCAATTGCCCCTTACTTGATACGGGCCAATCGTTCTCGGTTCATTCTCGTGGCATCGTCAACAGCATCGCTCTGTGCTAAGTCAGCAAAATAATTCTTGCTTTAAAATTGAGAACACCACTTGCCTTGTTCATAATACGGTCGATCTGCTTGTTCTGCGAGTCAACCTCCTTGCCAATAGCTCTGCCGACCATATTCATCATGGACACTTGGCCCTCAAGCTCGGTGATGCCATCATCGATCTGGTCCTCAAGCTCATCCGCTCCCTCCTCATCGTCAAGGTTAAATTTGCCGTAATCTTTCTTACGAGGTTGCTGTCGTGGCCGACCCACGGTGCTCATGTCTCTGAAGTTGCCTTCCATGCGCTGGTTGGCTTGGAAACCATCACGGCGGGTGGCTTCTCGTTGTTCTCGCTCAGATCGATGGCGTGCCATAACCTCATCGTCTGCTTTTTGCTTGCGTTGCTTGGAAGTAAAAGGGTTGCTGACATGCACGGCAAACATACTTCCGTTGAGTGTCTTGAGTTCGGCAGCCCGGTCCTGAGCAATCTTGTTCTGGTTGGCGGCTAGATCAAGATGCTTCTCCGTGTTGTTCAATCGCTCTCCTTGAGCTCCTAGGCGAGCCAGGGTGGCGCGACCGACTTCGTTGGCTTGTCGGGCCATTTGTACCGACCGGTTGACAGAGGATGCACTGTCCTGCTGAAGTTGTCGCTTCTCCGCCAGAATGGATTGATATTCAGCTTCTTCTTGCTCCTCAGCGGTCAACTCGCGCTCCTCACCATAACCGCCGTACGAGCCACCATCGGCTCCTGACTGCGGACCGTTGTTGGTAGGCTGTTGCTTCTGGGCCTGGCGTTCCTGAGCACCAGCGAACAAGTTGTCTCTGTTGGTGTCAGGCTCGCTGGGTCCGAAACCACCATAGCCACCGGGGCCTCTCGCACCAGCAGCTGGGCCGGGACTGTTGTACCTGTTCTGAGGAGCAGAGTCGCCATATCGATTTCCACCATAGCCGCCGCCGGAGCCGTATCGGTCAGCCCCATATCCGCTCGGAGGCTGGGGTTGAGAATTGGGGCCTCCTTGCGCAGGAGCGGGAGCACCGTAGGAATTCGGAGCCTGGGCGGCAGGGCCGTTGTTGAGACCAGCGCGGGCTTGCTGGTAAGGAGTTACGTTGGCATACTTTGCGTCGTCGGCATAGGGGTCTTTTCCGCCTTGTTTGGCATAAGGATTCTCAGAGGTACTGGACTGAGACGACTTCTTGCGACCAAAGAGGGCGTGGCGGTTGGCGTCATCACCATCATCGCCTTTCTTTCCGAAGCCAAACTTCTTCATGGCGAGATTTGTTGGATGTGGAACGGGATTGAGATGCTCACGAGTTGTTGCGGTAAATTGCGCTAGGTAGTGAGAAAGGAAATAGAGAATTATGAAAGTAATGGAAGGGCTGAAAGGAAAAGAGGATGATAGTGCTGTCTTAA